CCCGATAAAGGGCGCCCGGGCGGGCGGGGACAGTGACAGCAGCCAGCCCCAGAGAGCGCTCGGCTCCGCGCCGCCGGTCCGGCCAAGCGCAGCAGGACCTCCCCGCGACATGCGCGTGCCAACCCGGCGCTGAGCGGTGGCGATGGTGGTGCGCGGGGGCGCTGGCGCTGGCGCTGGGCGGTCTGCCGCCGGCGCGGAGCGTGGAGCAGGAGCCCGGCGCGCACAGCTCGATCGACGGCTTCCAGGTGGTCACTTTCAAGTGGCACCACGTCCAGGACCCGTACATCATCGCGCTCTGGATCCTCGTGGCCAGCCTGGCCAAGATCGGTAAGCGCCTCTCCCCGGGGTGTCTCCTCGCTACTTGCGCAAGGGTCTGCGCTACCCTACCCGGAGGACGGACGGACACGGACCGACCAACTGCCGGCCGCGAGCCCAGCGGATGGAGCTGGGCGCCTGCGTTCGACTTTGCCTCCCAGCCTCTGCCGTGTCCGCGGGCTTCCCTGTGAGATGGGCGCGCCGAGCGTCGCCTGCCGCTGCGGTCCGGTCCGAGGTGCGCCGCGGCCCAGCCAGGAGTCAGGCTCTTGGGGCAGGCAAGGCGAGGTTTGGGGGCTGCGAACCTGGCCAGCCAGAGTGGCTGTGCAGATCCCTGCGGGTCACCCCCTCCCTCGCCCATCCCGGTGCACCTCCGAGGTCGCCGGCTCTCAGCGGTAGGTCGTGGGTGCCGCTAGTCTGCGCAGTTCCTCGCCTGGAGCATCCCAGGCTCCTCGCGTTCAGGACTTCTGGTTGCAGTATTTTCTGTTGGGTCAGCTTGGCCTTTTAGTGCACGGAGCGAGGAAATGTCCTTGCGGTCTAATACTGGAATGACATTTCTGTTTGTTTCTAGTGCAGAAAAGAAAAAAACATGCTGTTCAAGATATGAACCGACTAAAATCCTCTTTGCAGGAACAGTTTTCCCACGGAAGGTCTTCTTTCTCTCTCTTTTAACCTGGTCTGTCTCTTACTTTCGCGGCCTCAGAGTATCAGTAAAGTAGGGGTCTCATGAACTCCTGGGCAAGATGACAACAAGGTCAGCTCTCTTCAGAGCTTATAGGGTCAAAGTTCCAATGGTGGCCGACACTGGGAGGTGGGGGTCCTACCTGAGGCAGTGGTGTAAGGGGGTCTGTAATTTACGAGGTGGAGGGGGGCGGGGGCAGGTTGAAGGGGGGTCCTGGAGGCCACGGTGGCCAAGACAAACAAGACTATAGCAGTGGGCTTTAAGGGAAGTTTCAGAAGTGGTTTTGGAACAGAGAGGGGCAGGGCGAAGAGGAAAGGGTCCTCTGGGCCTTGGAGGGCCATGAACTCCTTAGCCAAGAAGAAGAGGGGAGGGGAGGGCCAGGCTTTGGGGAGGTGGATTAGAGGACTTTGGGCCTGGTAGGTTTGGGGATAGCTGGTGTACCTGGCAGATGGCTGGCTAAGCCTTGCTTCCCCTCAGCACTGCCTGGTGTCATGTCCTACTTATGCCAGTGATACCCCCCACTTCTAAACACCCTTTTTCACTTCTGCTTTCTGTTTCTTAATGGCTCATTCAGCCTTCCGGCTCTGCCGCCTCCTCCCTCATCCTATGGCTCTTTCTCTTGAGCCTGTGCTCAGCCTCCTGGGCCCGGCAGCCCCACTCCTCCCTCTCTGTCCTCCTCTGGGCTCCCAACTTGACTTGAGAATCCTCTGTGGTGTGAGCCCCTGTGAGCCCCAGGGACAGGGCCTGGTATGGTGTCGCTCTCCTGGGATGGCTGCCTTAGCCTCGGGGAATCATGTAGTCTGAAGGACTGAAGGGTCAGCCTCTTCACCCCATCCTGTCCTGATGCTCACGCTGCTGCCCTCTGAGCTGACCCATTCGGGGGATACCTTTCCTCCCTCTGTAAAACCGCAGTGAGGACACGGTATGGGCAGCTCCCCAGAGTCTCGTGGAAAGTGCCCCTGCCCTGCGAAGCTCTCTTTCTTTCCCGTCTCTAGTGCCTCCCCCATGCGCCCCTCTCATGGGGGCCCGGAGGCCTCCCTACCTCCCGACCTCCAGTGGCTCAAACCCAGAGTGGCGTGCCCCACGGAGACAGGAAGTTTTCTTTAACAGTCCCCACCTCCCCCGCACCAGACGCCAGGGACCCGTACACCCACAGACGAGGGGGGACCTGCACCCTCTGGGTTCAGTGCTAGGGGCACAGAGCACCCGTTTTCTGTAACGTGAGCACGTACTTTCTGCGCAAAATGGGGCCCCTCTTGGTTCAGCCCCGGTGTACAGGTGTGGGGCTTGGTGAAGGACTGCGCCTGGGTGCCCAGGCTGGTCGGCCTGGGGGCGCTGGGAGGGGGTGCTGGGGGTGCTGGGAGCGGGGCACTGGGAGGGGGTGCTGGCAGCATGTACCTTTCCCAGGAGCAGTCATGGACTCTGTCCAGGGCTCCAGAGTGCTGGGATACAGTCCCAGTTGCCCCTGGTACCCATTCCCCAGGTGGTGAGAGAACCACCCTCTCGAGCATGGGGGGGGGGGTGGCCACCAGCCCTAGCTCATGGAGGGAGGGTGGCGGACCTCCTGGTTAATAAGATTCTCCAAAACAAGAGCCCCTTCCCAGGTGTTGTTGTTTTACCCAGATGGTTGGCAGCTACTCCAGGGGGAAGAGCAAAGTGCTGGTGGCGGCTTGGGGGGCTCTAAGGAGGGGGGACCTGGGGAGAAGACCTACTAGGGTTGGCCAAGCTTCCCCGAGGAAGCCCTGACTACAGGCCTGTCCCCCCACCCCCACACAAACATCTCGTGGCCTGAGTGGAGGAGCCGGCTTTGGTACAGACAGGACTTATTGAAAACTCACGTGCTAAACCTTACTGGGACCCTATCCAACTGTCCCTCCTGTGTCAGAGGTTTCTGCTGGGACACCCCCATCCCCCAACCCATGCTGCCGGCTCCCTCCCCCATGCCCGCCTCTGTGCTCGGCCCCATCCCTCCAGCTTGGCCCCACCCCCCACGCCCACCCCCTCCCGGCCCAGCCCCATCCAGCACTGCCCACCCAGCCTTCCAGTCCTCTGGCTTCCTGTGGTTCATCCTCCATCCCAGGACTCCCTCCCCGTGAGTCAGAGCGGCTCCACATGGCCTCGCCCCTCCTGGAGCCCTCTCCCCCTGGCTTCTGCACAGTCCTCACCCTGTCCCTCAGCCTGTCCTAGATGTCAGTGCTCCTGCCACCACGCCCCCACTCTCTGATCTCCCCTCGCTGTCTCCCATCCAGCACCTTCCACGGCCTGGCTCGGAGTCCTCCAAGCGCACAGCTGCCCACTGTCCCACAGTACCAGCTCCACTGCCTAGGCAGACCCTCAAGCCTCTGCCTCTCCGCCCCCACCCCTCAATATCCAAAGCTCAGCAAATAAGCCAAATGCACCGTCTCATGCCCAAACCCCCCAAACCGGGGGTTGACTTGACTCCTCATTTTGGTCAAGTCCCATCACCGGTCCCATACTCTCTGCAGAGGACTAGACCCCTCCTCCCCACCCTGTACCACACACTGTCCTCGCTGCAGCCCCTGCCACTCGGGAAAGCCCAGACCCCTCCTTATCTCTGCCTTGACTACCCCCCTTCAAGAATTCCCCCCTCAGCTGGCAGCTCTACCTCCTACCCTTCAGAGCCCTGCCTCCACCTTCTCCCCTCTCCCCCCCAAGCCAGGTAGCCCCTCCATGCCTGGCCCCAGGGTTGGGCTCCCTGCTCCCCTCCCCTTGTCTCTTCCCCCTCCCCTCCACCCCCTCCTTGGGTGGACTCTGGACTGACTCTCAAATCTCAGATCAAGACTGCTTCCTCAGAAGCCTTAGGGACTCTCCCTGCTTGGTGAGCTTAGACACTCCTGCGAGCCTTCTGCTGCATCTACGCCAGGATACCCATGTCTGTGCTTGGCCTCGACTTCCCTACCCCTTTGTGGGATACCTCACGCCGTCCCCGGTGTTTTCAGCTCACACACCCAGCTGCATGCTGAGGAGGGTGGGGGTCTGGCTTTTCTCCAGGCCATGTAGACCCTGGTTGGGGAAGTAAGACGCGGGGGCAAGCACCCAGGCCTGGTCTGGTCAATAAATGCTGAAAGGAGGCTTTTCACAGCCTGCAGCCTGGATGGGACCCGCCGTGGAGGCGGCTCCGCAGCAGGAAGCTGCCGTCGGAAATGGCATCTGAGAACAGGTGTGAAGGAGGACCGGCTTCTGGGCCCCCAGGCCTCTGAGAAGGGTTCACTCATCTGGGCTTCTAGGGGACCCCCGATTTTTGCCTGGCTCCCCTGGGAAATTAAGGGGAGAGGGCCAGCTGAGGCCAGGGTCCAAGATAGAGACCTTTGTGGTCCGAGAGGTTAGGAGGGGCCTTCGTGGAGCGAGACTTGCAGTATGGCTGGGGTCCCCCCAATGGTTGCGTGAGGGGTTCCCTCCCCTGGACCAGCCTGGACACTGACTCGCACTGGTGTCCAGCCAGCAGCCCCTGCTCAGCCTCCTTTGCACCAAGGTCACTTTGGACCCTGGTGTGTTTCTGAGATCCCCCTCCTCGGGTGCTGGGGCCTCGGCCCTGAATGCCCTCAGCCTCAAGTGGGGTGGAGGCCCCTGGGGATGGAGACCAAGAAGGAAGGCGGGAGGGGCGGGGGAGGGGTGAGCCAGGGGCTGGACTCAGGCCCCAAGGACTTTGTCCCTACTTAGGTTTCAGGAGGAGCAGGACTCAGTCAGATCTGATTCTGAGCCCATTACCCTGGACAGGAGGGACACCAGAGAGGACGCAAGAGGACAATCCAGAGCAGCCTCGGGGTTCAGGGAGGTGTGGGCGTTGTGGGGGAGGGGTGCATGTGCAGGCAGCTCCCGGGGCCTGCGTTCCCCAGCAGAGATGGATCCTCCTGCCCTCAACTTGTTCTCACCTCCTCCAGCCCGTGGCCACCTGGCCGAGCTGGTCTCCACAGCTCTGAGCTCCAGGGGTGCCCCAGCTCTGCCAGAACGGCCCGTGCAACTGACAGAGCCCAGCTCACGCTAGCTGGGGACAAAGAGAAATGAGGGGCAAGTAGGGGAGTCCAGCTGGGTCCATTTGTCCCCAAGTATCAGGTCAGGGAAACACTACAGGGGACAGATACATCTCAGGGAGCCGACATCCCCGAGTCTGGCGGACGGCGAGAGGTGGGCCTGGAGACCACTCCAAGGTCGAGGATGTGGGCCAGTGGGACCCGTGAGTGAGGAGGGGTGAGCCTGTGTAACACCCACATAAACCCCACGAAGGGACAGAGTGGGACCGGGCTCCTGAGACAAGTGAGCTGGGGGGCGGGTGCCATGGAGAGCAGATGGAGCAGGGAGGAAGCAGGCGAGG